TTGAATACAAACATGGCGAACGAGACCGTGCCAGGTGTGGCAGCTGCAAACACAATCTGAATCGTTGGCTAAAATATCCAGTGTGGGTTTGCTGCTATGTATATAGGATGAAGTTGCTTCAGCTCCTAATTAATTATGAAAGTGAGAAAGCCATCTTACTAACATCCGGCAAACACACACATACTTCTGCTTTATGGAGCGTATAATAAAGTTACGAAAAATACTGAAGTACCTTTAAAAAAAAATGAATAAAATACCCAGCTAAAACTCACAACACTTTCTGGCCAAAAGCTCTTAGCCGGGATTCCCAGGCGCAGCATACAAAGCAAATTGCTGTAGTCAATTTAATTAAATTTGTTTGTTTGGAGCTGAACGAAACACGCCTCGATAACAGCCTGGCTGCTGCAGGCAACACCCAGACAGCTGCCACAGCTCACAACAAAATTCCCAAGCTTAAACCCAATCCACAATCCCCAATCGCAGATCCAATGTAACCCCAAAGCGTCTAAAATACCCGCGCATCGATACAAAAGGATGCGTTTATCACAATTCTATTAACGCACCAAGTCAGTCAGATATACCCAGAGCCACAGTTCAGTCTGAGTGCGGGAGTAGGAGTCGAAGGAGGAGGTGCCGACATCAGATGGATTCTATTGCTACTCTGTGTGCGAGTCTGTGCGGCAGCTCGAGGGCGTTTTTCCAACCGCTTTTCATGTTTACACTGGAAATTTGCCAGCAGCATAAGCAACAACAACTACAAATAACAACTTGTACTGTCAGCATGTGTGTAAATACAGAATAGGAGCTAGAGATTATATATTTTTGTTGCACAAGTCGCTGATGAAATACCTTCTATGATGGTTATGTTACAAAGTTAGCTGAATCAAAAACTGTCAAGTGTAGTTGTTAACTTAATAAACCAATTTTATGTCTGAATTGTTGACGATTTAGGTGCAGATAAGAGCCATATATAAGTTAGTGTTGCGATTTTTGTAAGAATTACTCAAACTGTTGGCAGTTAGAGAAGGAGAGGAAGGAAAGATTGAAGCATGATAAGCTAATCGACCCTAACTGATCTGTCAAGAAATTATAATACCCGTTGGCAGAGTAGCACTGAAATACTGAAGAAATATAAATATACATATGTACTCATGCAGATGGATAAATGGAGTGGGAGAGAGAAAATGAAAGCAGCTTTTCAGGCAGTCGAGTGTAATTAAATTTCTTGTCAGCAATGAAACGACTCAAGTCGAAGGATCCTTGAGTTTCTCGTCATGCATTTGAATGGAATTACAATTAGAAGTAGACGCATTCAAAATCAAATAAAATTCTGTTTAAGTGTGTCAAACAATGACATAGGGACGTACAGGAAGCGGGGTAAAGTGATGCTTTTGATGCTTCACATGTATTTATTTAAATAATTCTGCTGCTGATATTTTTACATTTTTTAATAAGCTCTTTTAAAAGCATGACGTTAGTTGGCATTCGATTCTGCAACATTCATGAAAATTCCCAATATTATTTAATATGCCGTCAGCAACAACAGAAACAATAAATGTGATATCACAATCCAAAAATCGAGCCACAATTAAAACGAGCTCAACAGCTTGGCCGGCCGGCGGTTGAATAAAGGAATTTACAGCTAATCCTGGGAGCAGCGTAATTACATGCTGATCCTTTTTGTTAGTGGCATGTCCTGACTCTGATTAAATCGTTCATATCAATATAAGTGGGTGTGATGACGTGGTAGGAGGCGGGTTCGGAAGTGGTCGCATAAATAATTGCAAGTGCCATAGGAGTTATTTGTTTAAATGACAAATAAAATGCAGCAATCATTTTTATAAACATTTTATCGCTTCTGTTACGTTTTTGTTGCTAGTGTTGTTTTACTTTTGCCCTGTTGGCCTTGTCTGGTTGCCTTTGGCAAATACGCGTCGTATGCGCAATTTATTTACAAGCATTTCTGTTTGTCTGGTTTTTATGGCTGGTTAGGATTGGCAGCAGTTGCTTAAACATTTATGCAACGTGTGGATTTTGTTTGCATAGCCCGGCACACGCCCATCCAATTGATGAGTGTAGAAAAAGGCTGAATCGACCCAACGACTCCCCCTAGTGCTGGTAGTCACTTCGGGGATACATTTTTAATGACATTTACATTGCTGATGGTGATTTCATATTTCACAACCAAACAAAGGTTGCAATTGAAACAGGGGCATTTTAAAATAGATGAAAGTTCGTTGAAGATTAAAAAAATTTCATTTATTTCCAACAAATAATTTTTTCTGCGTATGCAATGGGTGTCAACCAGTGCAGCTCTTTCGACAAGAGCAGTTTGCACTGTGATGCAGGCTGACTACCGCATGATATTTCTCTAAATAAACTATTAATAAGTAACACTTTATCATTTTCCCCATCATTTTGCATTTGGCTTCTAATCAAAGCATTTAATAAAAATATAACTATATTTACTGAAAACATAACTTGACTCAAGTGCTCTCCAAGTTGCAGGCTCTTCAAGTGTTGATGCTGAGACGACGACCCACTTCTGTGGCAATTTCTTCTGGGCAACCGCAAATGGCAATGTTTATTAGCCATAATGCTGCGGCTCCGTCAACAAAAGGCAACAAACATGGCCAAGGAAAATATGTTGATGTTTTGCCACCGCAACTAAGTGAGGTTGGAATCCTTGAATAAACTATAAGTTTTGTGTAGCACACGAAGCAAATAGAATGCAAAAAAAAAATATGTATATACTTAGGGGGGAACAACATAAAAGGCGAGCAGACCATAAGAAGTAAACAGACAGACCAAGGTATCCGTTCCGTACCCAGTTTTCACTCTGTTCCCGCGCAATCTCCCTTTCTCTCTCTCTCTCCCCTTTTCTTTCTCTGATGTCGAGGCGACAATTTTACTTGGCTATTTATAACTGTCGAGCCTTTGTTGCTTCCTACTGCCTCCTCGTTCTCCAGCTCTCTCCACGAACTCCCTTTTGGTGCTGCAAGCAGCGGCTCGTAAACATCTTCATTCAGTTGTGTGTGTGTGTGTGTGTGATAGGTGCACAACGTTAACAGCTGTTCGTTCTACTGCACGTCCTTGTCAGGCGACCAGGCGACCACCAATCACTCGACGCTCTCGCAAATTGCGGTAATTTCTTGTTGTCGCATTCAGGCAGCGGCAAGCAGTCGCTGAATTATAACCAAAGTGGCTAATTTGTCACACTGAGCGCCAAGAGAAAAACGGAGACACGAGACGCGAGACGCGAGACAGACATAAATACACAGAGAAGGAGAAATAGAGAAAGAAATGACAAGTGGGATGGGCTGACCGATTATAAGTCAGACAAAGCCTTAAGGGTCTGTCAGCATAATTCGATCATCCGTTCAATTGCTTATGATGATATTGCTCTACTCGACTCCTGTACAACATTTCGCCCAAGATGATTTCCTTGATATCCTCTGCATATATTCTTACCTTAAAGCAACACACACACAAAGAGCAGCAGCGTTGAGCAACGTTTACCATCGTCCAACATCGATTTGGCTCTTTATTGCTATTTTATGGAGCAAATACAACTTTCGAGCATGCAAAATTTGTGCTCAGTGCACAATGGACAATTGTGTCCTTTGGAGCTGAGCAGACCATCGCCTGCAGATGGGCTGCTTAAAGAAAATTTCGAGCATAGCAAAGCAGAGAAAATACGAGTGCCTATACCATTCAATGGTCCTATGGGGCAACCAAAAGTTGTTGCTCATCTCGTGTCTGGCTTTGATCCAGCTATTGCTGCTGCTTCTGCTGGCCCTTGTATCCTTTTTTTTTGTGTATGCAAATGCCACTCTGGCTATTGGATTTGAGTATTCGGATAAACATTTCAATTGGCCATACGCTTCATTACGTCCAACCCGCTATCGAATGCCGTCCCATCCACTGTTCACTGTTCACCCAACTTTTTCAATCTGGCTACGGTAAAATTGCAATTGGCAAGGGAAAATCAAAACGAAACACAACGAAACGCATCGAAAACTATTGAAAATTAATTTTGAAAGAAATTTGCAAAATGCATCCAACAATTGTTGCACATTTCTCTTGTAGTTTGCGATATTTTTGCCTCATCCTTTTGCTGTTTGCTCGTGTTGTTGTTACTGGTCTGTAAATTATGCAAATTAAAATATGTACACATAATTACAAATGTAAATCGCATTAATTGTACAGCTCGAATAACTCTCACACAATGTCGATGATGCAAATTTGTGGTTAAAATATCACAAAACACTTTTTACAATTTGTTTTTTTAACCACTCCATTATTTTTTTCATTGACTTGTAGTTAAGTTTTTGGGAGGTCTATTTAAACATAGATTTATCATCGGATTATGACTGTGAAATTTATTCATTAAGTTAGTTAATTAAATATTTTAGTCAGTAATATCACAGGTTATAAGCTAACTTTTCTTTATTCCTTAGAAAGGGATCACTCTCGAGTCAATTTAATTATATTATATGGTTCAAAGTTTGATAGAGTATCTGCTAGTCAACTATTTAATAGTTAATCCGTTTAAAATACGAAATGACCACAAATGATTTTTATAGCCCAGTTAATTGAGGTTTACAGCACGGTTTTCATTTGATTAAACTCAATAATTACAAATACGAGCAACTCACAAATATTTTCACAACTTGCCCATTACTAAATTCAGTCAGCTTAAACACAATTTAAAGTCAAATAAATATAAATATATATATATATATACTATGCACTTTATAATAGTTAGTCAGTCATTATGATAATTGCCAAACTTAGCAAAGTCAGTTCCATTGCACTTAATAATAAATAAATAAATGTATAATAAATAAAACAATACAAATAAGGCAATACAATTTATAATTTATTAATAGGAGGAGTTTTGTAAGGGTATAGAGCAATCAGGGCAGGCTTATTAGTAAGATTCTCCATCATATAAAATAAGTAAAATTCAAATCAGATTGAATAAGCGAATTTTAATTAGCAAAAAATTAGACTTAACATATTCAAATTTAATCAGAAAACATATTAGATTATTGCTTTGCCAACAAATGAACAGACAGAAGCCTCCATTGTTATAGGGCAGCTTTTCTAAGGGTACACAACCAGGGCAGCCTTACTAGTACGATTCTCCGTTCGATCAATAAACCAAAATAAGTGGTTTTAAAAAATGTATATATAAAAGCCTAATAAATACCGAAAGGGATTGTCGGGTATGGGGATTATTATCGATTGACAGTTGATCTATTTGGTGGTCATCATCAGGACAAACTCCTCGTAACTCAGTTTTCCATCACCATCCTCATCATGGGGGCGTATCATCTCCTCGCACTCCTCGGTGGTTAAGTGCTGATTAAGATCCATCATGACGAGGCGAATCTGAGCAACTCCTATAAAGCCGGTGTTGTCCTTGTCAAAAATGCGAAATGTTTCACGCAGAGCATCCTCGTCCGGAGGATAGCTCATTCTGTAAATCAGTAATCGCACAAACGCGTCATATTCAACGAACCCGTTGCCATCATAATCTACATCGCTGATAATCAATTGTAGCTCCTTTTCTGTCGGCTGCCTGCCCAAGGCACGTAAAGCATTCTCAAGATCCTTGACTGTGACTCTATCATCATTGTCAAAAGCTAATATCTGGAAGGCGGTCTTAAAATGTTCAAGATCATGAACAGAGGGTTCCATTATCGAGTACTAAAATTTCGACACGTTTAAAATTTTAAATAAAAAAAATGAAGAACTTTAAAAAAAAACAGAGCTTTCGGTTTGAGTGTTAAAAATATAATTCTAGAAATGTGTTCCCAAACGGATGTTCAGCAATTGAAATCACAATTTCGCCTGCTGTGATTTGTTATTGGAGTATGTTATGCGATACACGAATACTTAAGACACCCCACATAGCAAGTGACATACGATGTCAGTGTGCTCGCTGGGTCATGATTAATTGCATGTGCGGCTTTCCACATACATACACACATACCATATGTATGTATATGTATATTGCATTCTGCCATTCGCCGTCTCGTTTTCGTCTTTCGCTCTGATATATTAGTTACAGTTGCTGCCCTCTGATTTTTTTTAATGTTTTTTTTTTTATATTTATCCGCGAAAGCATCCAACAGAGCACCGACAACAACAAGAATAACAACAACGACAACACCAACACCAACAACATTAAGTTTTCGCCGCATGCTGTGGTCAGCCGCACACATCAACAGCCAGGCCCATGAGCCACACCAACAGCCAGTTACAGCAACAGAAACTGCAACAACTACAACAACTGCAACAAGAGCAACAACAATAACAATGGTTGACCAGGCGAAAGTTATTTACTGCAAATCGGTCGAGTGAAGACCAGATCGCAGCTGACGACGCACAGTAGTCTCACCTAATCAATTTCATGGCACAAATCGGAGGAAATCCTTAATAAATATAAAGAATTTTATTATCTTTTAAATATATGTTTCATCTCCTAAAAACCGGTTAAAACGCTTCTGAGCAATATTTTCTCAAAGTTTCAAATGTTATCGGAATTAGCTAACAAAAAAAAATCCGGTTTTCATATTGAAAAACAGTATTAATATAAAGGATTAAAGAGCTTAAAATCGGTTTAGATTTGACAAAGGTGGTACGCATGACCAGATGTGATCTTATAATCTTGTAGATCTTGATCCATAAAATAAATATCTCATTGCGAAAACATGTAAACATAGATAACTTCAGAATTGTGGAATCCAAATAGGCGTCGACATACATACATAACAACACATATAACTGATATAACTACACTGAAGTAATATATTGGATTCCAAGCAAGCAACTTCAGCGCAAATCGTGTCTTCCAATTTCCATAATGTAACTTTATCACTGTTCATATTTGCAATATATTACGCCCATAGTGAGACGGTTCAAAATGCTGCCAAAATTTCTGAAAGGCAAACAGCAACTGGTAAAATTTGAGCAGACCGTTGGCTTTAAACATGCTCCAAACAGCTGAATATTCAATTAAAATCTCGAAATTAATTTAAGAGCTAACGGCAATGGCAGCCAGGTAAACTTTTCTGTGGCCACTTGAACCGAATTGGGGCACGGTGCAAGCAACAAGGCATCTTTCAGCCACCATATTTGGATATTTGATTTTGATTTCGATTTCAAAGCTACACTTTGGCGCCGAATGCTAGGCAAACTTTTTACCAAAGCCTTAAATTATAATTGAAACAATAGAAAATAAATCAACAACCAAGAACTTACTGAAACTAAATGTGATGTTGAAAAGTTAATTAGCAATGCGAGAAGTTGTGATTGTTTTCGTTTACCAATTTAACACAATTATTTAGAAAACCATTTTAATTGAAACATTAATTCTAATAAATTAGATTACATGAAATTAGATTCTACCTCAGACATACATATAAACATTTCATAGAATTATAAATAGCATCATACACTTAAGGCAATTCCATTTTACATTATACTTAATATCCCATCTACGTAGAGTTAAGTAGCCGTCCATTGACGTTAAGGAATTTATGTTTTCCATCGTTTTATAGCATCTGCTAGCCGGACAATTGGGTCGACTCTTGCAATATTCTTTGCTGTGCTTATCTGACTCGCATTAACCGCTTCAATTGCCGGAATGACTCAATGGGGCAACTGTTAACCTCTTTACAAGTGAATTACTCGCCGTTTATGTTGACGACAGTTGTTCACTTGCAGTTCGTTAGATACTCGTGTGCGAGTAAATCGAATGTCTTCCATATTGAATGGCTGCCAGGCGCAATGGGAATCCTGCAATCCTTTTCAGCTCCACCTTCATTCATTGTGTTAAATGTTCCGGGTCTTATACTCATATATTTGTAAGCAATTATAAAGCATACCTTGCGCCATATCTTGCACCTTATCTTTGCAACTCACCTCGGGGCAACGTGCTACGTGCTGGGGCAGCTGCCAGCTGCAGTCGAGCGACGACGCTGCAAAGGAGGCAACAATAAATTATTTCATTGCTGACCACAAACAGTTGAATCTTGTTGTCGTTGTTGTTGAGATGGTTGTTGTGGTTGTTGCTGCTCACGTCTGCTATTAAACTCGCCGTAAAAAGAGCTTGAAATATGTAATTTTCCGGTTCAATTACGACGCCACAGCAGCAGCGTGGCCTGAAGTGGACTGAGCAGCGGGGCACGGATATCGGCTGTGTCAGGAATCCGCATCCACATCCGCATTCGCCTCCGCAACATCGCGGCCAGCAGGCCAAGATCCATGTACACTGATAGCGACTGGCGACCACCAACGCGCTTGTGCGATATGCGGCTCGGATAGCACTCAGTAATTTGTAGTAAATCTCTGCGGCACATGAAGGAAGACTGCCCGAGCAGCCTGAGTTAGAGGCAGGAGGAGGCGATGTGGCTGGAGAGCTTTGAGTGACTCGCTGCGGTTAGATATATTCGGCGGACGTGTGCCGCATTTTAAAAAGTCGAAATTTGAATTAAATCGTGGCCCTAACAAGCATTTCATGTCTTAATATTTTACATTTAATGAAACTAAGCTAAATGACCTTCACTAGAGATTAATCTACAAAGTAAATCCAAATGCTTCGATCGCGGAAATGGTCAAGGCTAATAACTTATTAAACGAAAATAATAAAATTATTTGGTATTTTCAAAATAATTTAATTTAAATGTTGATTTGGTATTCAAACGGTTAAACAATTTGATCGATGTGCAAAGGTATTCAAACGGTTAAACAATTTGATCGATGTGCAAAGTAGATACATCAAAATCAAAAACACGCATTAACAGAAAGCAGTGAATATTGCTAAAATAAGAATTGACTTAGCAATATTTTTTGTGATTATAGCAGTATAGACAAAAAGTGTATTAAAGAAAATATCAGTCACATAATACTTAAAGCTTTGCTAAAAAGAACCATTTCGTTGAAATGTCATCTTTGTACGATTACTAAGAAATGGATACGTCAAACTCATTTTCCCATTGTTTATGCAGAGCTGGTTAAGCAACGATTCTTTATCTACTTAGGAGAATTTACAGTTGATTTACATATAAAAATAAACAACAGCCTACGAGTGCGACTCGTTAAAAAAATGACAAGTGCTGAGAAGCAAAGGAGGAACAAAATCGATGTTGTTGATGGGAAAATAAATGGTTGGTGTGGATGGAGAGGGGTGCATGGGTATAGTATTTTGCTAAGCAACTTGACTGCAAAAATGCCAGCAAGTAAATTTTAAACATCGCACGTGGCCATAAAAACCATGCCAGGCCAACGAATGTGCCAGTAGCAGTCAGGACTATTCAGCAGCCAGACAAGGTGGGTGAGGGGGATGTAGGAGCGATAGACGAAGAAGGGGGGTGGAAGGGGTTGCTAAAAGGAAGCTACGTGTGGGCAACTGCATTTTAGCGCCATATTTTATACACACTTAAAGTCACACACAGAGAAAACAGCTAGCAAATGGAAATAGGAGTGAGAGGGGGATGAGAGGGGCAAGTGGGTACTGCAGTCGTCGCAGTGTCAAAGCAAGAAAGGCAACGGCAATGCAGGCAAAGATAAACGCGGTGAGTGCAAAGGGAATAGCATCAACAACAAATGGTCAAAAAGTTTTCCATTCCATGCAAAAAGACAAAAAAAAATGTGTGAAAAAGCAAGTGAAAATGGGTTAAACAAATGCCAAGAGCACAACAAAAGAGGCCGCAAATAAAATGCAAGCCAACGCCACGCCCACTTACTGCCCCAAACACACAGCAACACACACACACACTTCAGTTAACTCTGGTCGAGGTACGGCCAAATGCTGCGTACAACAGTGCGTATAATGAATATTAATAAATGTGCCACTGAATTAATTAATGAAACGCCGCATTTTCAATTAGCAACAAGACGCAAGCAACAAGCATACTTCGACAGCGAACAAGACATTTCACAAGGCCACCAACTGATTTGGCCGTGGGCTTGGCTAATTAAAATTTAATTAATTAACAATGCGACGGCAAATGGCCGAAAGCAGGCAATAGAAAAGTATCGAAATTACGCCAAAACAGCCGCCATCTGGCTAAAGATTTTTGAAGTAGTCGGAAATGAAGATGGATTTTCATTTCAATGGACCATGTGGCACGTGGCGCGTGCCACATTGGCCACGCAACACATGCCCACAAACTGTATTGATTCCATCGTTGTCGTTGTCGTTGTTGCTGTTGCTGTTGATGTTGCTCTTCTAGTAATTGTTGCTCCAATATGCCACATCATTTTCGGCTCATTAATCATTGAAGCATTTTCATTAGCCTGGGCCAAGTTTCCTCGCTTTAATTACCAAACGGCCAGTGCACCCACGATAAGCGATAAACGACAAATACAAAACCTTCTATTGAATTTAGACCACAACAAAAGGCCATAAATTGGGATACTGTTAATTTCTAAAATGCCTCGACATGAAACAAACCAAATAAATGCGTTGAGGCTTCTGCGCAAAAACTTGCTGAGACGAAAATAATGTAAAATCAATGTAATTATAGGAGAATAAATTGAAATGCATGAGTAAGGAAATTTCTTTAAAATTAAAACTGCTAAGCATATAATATCCATCCATGCCTATTCACGTTTCACAACCAATCTCTTCTTGTTTTCTCGTTTCATTGGTTGTTACTATCTAAAGAATATCTATTTTAACATTAATGTATTCCTAAAATCGAAATTTTTCTTTTGTTCCCACAGCAAGTCTTAATTTAGAATG